TAGTATAGTATTGAGGACTACTGCTGTTGTGCTATCAGGGTCCAACATATTTGTGAGAGATGATTTGTTGTTGCAACTAGATTCCACATCTAGAAAAACATTTAAAAGATTCTGTGCCCCAATGCACTTGGTTTAATAATAATAATAATAATAATCCTTGCATTTGATATAGCGCTTTTCACGTCGGGAGGACGTCCCAAAGCGCTTCACAGAACACACTGTAAAGTGAGTTGACTGTATATTTGTGGGCGAACGCGGCAGCCAATTGCGCACAGCAATGTCCCACAAACAGTCGTAGATTGAAAATGACCAATTTATTATTGTTTGTTTTTGGAGGGATTATTATTAGGCTCTGTGTGGAGTAAGGAAACTTGCCCAAGGTTTCGCCCTCTGCCTGGAATTGAACTCAGGTCTCTCACTTGCAAAGCGAGTGCTCTAACCACTGAGCTAATTACATTATACGTGGATCCTAGGTCTGAGTGCTCTAACCACTGAGCTCCAGGACTCCATGGTTGAAGGTTTGGTTGGTTTGCCTGTAGAGTTATAAGAGCAGGTGTTCTTTGGATAATTCACAGCAAAATTTACAACCACGCATAAACTGAAAGGCTAAATGGAAACACTAAAAAAAACCTTTTAGCTCAACATTTGAACCATCAAAGACCACAACAACAACCTGAATTTATATAACACCCTTGACGAGACGTTGCATTTCAGACGTTGTCCAATGAATTTACTAAAGAAAAAGACTGGATAAAAATAAGAATAATTACATTTCTTGCTATGTTTTCCCAAACAGAATTCGGGGGTACAACTCAAATAATGCTGGTCTGATGATTATGTTACATGTAGAGTAATGGAAAAATAGGAGGCCTTGAAAGTTCCTTAGTTTACTGCACTGCAATGTGATTGAAATAAATCAGACTGAGTTCTTTTATTTTTGTACTATGAATTCTGTGCATGATGTAATAAAGTGTCAAACAGGTAAAAGCCATTTAATTGAGTGGATTCACTCAATCCACGACTGTGTGTGGGACACTGCTATGCGCAATTGGCTGCTGCATTTCGCCCACAAAGTATACAGTCACTATACTTTACAGTATATTTTGTGAAGCACTTTGAGACGTCTCAATAACGTGATAAGATGCTATATAAAATGCAAGGATTATTATTATTATTATTTGACCAAGTTCTATCGAGGACCCTCTTTCCTCCTTCCGTGTATTTGCCCTCAACATTGTAACATTCAGCATGGAATTGTGGTAAACGCATATAGGTGTGGTATAGCTATATACTGGCAGACATTAATAATAATAATAGTAATCCTTGCATTTGATATAGCGCTTTTCACGTCGGGAGGACGTCCCAAAGCGCTTCACAGAACACACTGTAAAGTGAATTGACTGTACATTTGTGGGCGAACGCGGCAGCCAATTGCGCACAGCAATGTCCCACAAACAGTCTTAGATTGAAAAATGACCAATTTTATTATTGTTTTTGGTTTTGGAGGGATTATTATTAGGTGTGTGGAGTAAGGAAACTTTCCCAAGGTTTTGCCCTGCCTGGAATTGAACTCAGGTCTCTCGCTTGCAAAGCGAGTGCTCTAACCACTGAGCTACAGGACTCCACAATTATGTTATTAGAACAAATGTTTTTTTTTCCAGACAGTATTTATCTGGCTCCATAACATAGGGATTGAGCAGTCAAAAGATGGGTGTGGAGAAACCTCAAACAATTACCATTCTTTCTTTAGAGTGTTTTAATGGGATGAAATAACACCAGTCCAATCCCCACCTTCATCTGGAGATTATTGTTACAATTTCCCTGAACTGTACTTTCTTTTTTTAAAGTCACAGCTTGGAGTACAATTCTTTCCACTTTTAGATCTGACTTGCGTGATGCATATTCCCTGACAAAGAGGGCTAGCAATATTTCCCATTTGTATCATTCTGTCAATGCTGCTCTGTGCTGTCTACTATAAGATCCAAAGGAGCAATGCAGAGTCAATTATGGAAGTCACAAGGGAATCCTGTCAATTTGGCCTATCAAGCCTGTTCTGCCATTTTATTAAATCATGACAGATCCCTTTAAACCCACCTGCCTGCTTTTTCCTCTATATTCCTTTGTGCCCTTACTTCCCAAGTATATACTGTATAATATCTTTCTCCTTTTTAAATATTAGTTGTTTGTACAATTTGTCGTACTGTACTATGTTTAGAAATATAAAATGTTTTCCTGATAACAATGTAATGGACAATGCAAGTATCTTAAAATGGTTATCGGATCAACTCTATTTTAATCTGAACTGAACTTAATCTCCCTTAGCTTTTACATGGTACCTTCCTCCTGAAATTTTATCCTAAATGTGTGTTTGGTTTCACAGTTTCAAATTTAAGTCCGACATTCTGCACTACAGTTCAGAAGCCCATTGGGGCTTTGAATCAAACAGTGACATGAGCTCGATTTCAATCAATTTGCTTTGAAGCTGGTTTAAAACCACCATCAGGAGGCAGAGTTTTTTTTTACTAATCTGCCAACCTTGGATTAAATAGATTAATATTATTTATTTCATGTATTTGAGGCAGTACAGCTAAAAATTCCTGGTAATTGGTCATATTTTTACTTCTTTGTTATATTCACGGCAGTTCAAATCTACTTTTGCAATAGCTGCCAGGGTTACCATATTAACGTGCATTTTCAATATTTCCTAAACTTTGTTTATTTTAGAGGATAATAGAATAATAAAGAGATAATAGTAATAATAATAATAATCCTTGCATTTGATATAGCGCCTCATCACGTCTTCGAGGCGTATCAAAGCCCTTCACAGAATATACTGTAAAGTGAATTGATTGTATATTTTGTGGGCAAAACACGGTAGCCAATTGCACACAACAGTGTCCCACAAACAGTCGTGGATTCAGTGAACAAATTTTTTTTTTAAGGAATTATTACCCCCGGAAAAGCGACTGCCAATCGACTAACAACCAGGTTCCTCCTTACTGCTAGGTAAACAGAGGCATGTGGACTAAGGAAATTTGTCCAATGTTTCGCCTTGCCGGGAATCAAACCCAGGTTACTCGGTTGCGAGGCGAGTGCTCTAACCACTGAGCTACAGGACTCCACATCCAACATATTGTTATCTTATACGAATGTTATCATATTCAACCGAAATCCAGTCGGCTGTAAAGAACTTTAGGAACCTTCCTAGCTTTGAGACTTTGTGGCCAATTGCAGCATCCCATACCTTAAAGTGTTAGACCCCAATTACAACAACAACAACAAAATTACATTTATATAGTGCTTTTCACGTCGGGAGGACATCCCAAGGCGCTGGACAGACAGAGTTTCGGATCCAAGCTGAAGGTTGGGAGAGGGGAGGGCAAGGGGGGAAGCAGGGAGATCGAAGGCACGATCAAAGAGGAGGGTCTTGAGGTGGGTCTTGAAGGTGGTGAGGGAGGGGGCGAGATGGAGATTTTAATTTAATTGAATGCACAGAATTGAATTATAATAATAATTTCTAGCATTTATGTATTGCATTTCATCTAAAAAAAAGTCTTGAAGTGCTTTAAAAAATAAATTAACTTGGTTTAATGGCAGTTTTCCTGTCCCACTTCCTTAATTTTTAGTTGCCTCTTCATTTTCATTTATTCCTGATTTGGTAATTTTAAAATTGTGACCAGTTGTCCTTCACTCCAAATTTAGCTTTCACAATTAATTTGCTTCCATTTTGCGTACTATATAACTCACATAGCTCCCCCATGACTGAATAGGAAAGTTACCACATTAGGACTTATGGAATAGAAAGTTGTACATTGAAATCCTATTCTATAGTATTGCAGCTGGGGCATAAGTTAAGGCACTACTCTTAGCCTCAGTACCAGTGCTTTAGGGAGGAGAAAATTAGGCTCACAGTGCAATGTGGATGTTGAATGAAGAACACGATCGGGCCTTTCTGTGATGGTTCCCACAATCAAAACGCCTGATAGCATTTGTTGTCAAGGCTCACACATAAATAATGGTCATTTGCTGACGTATTGGATGGCTGATGGCACGGATGAAATTGTAACCCAGAAGGAAAAAGAAGTGTTTATAAAACAAAACCTTAAGGACAGGGGGGAGGTGAGAAAATCAGTGAAGAATAATTGCTGACATTTAACAAAAAGGATTGGATTTCTTCTCAAGGGTAATTCTTTTTAAAAGGAAATTATTTTAGTTTGTCATTCTGGCACAGCGATTTAAATCTGGAAATCAGATCTGTATTCTTTGGGAGGCTTGAAGACTAAGAATGATTGCAGCCATTCTTTCAATTCTTCCATTTTCTTTTTAAATTGAACATTTTTATGTCATTCTAGCTAGTTTTATGTTATTGATGACTGTAAACGCTAGGCCTGTCCTATTCAGACAGAATAGTTACAGTACTTGTATTAGATCTTCGACAGCAGATTTATATAGAGGAATCAGTTGCTGCTTTCATTATTATCACTACTTATATCTGCTTTCTGCATCCATCTGATGATACAGATTTATATTTTCAGATGACTTTATCCTGCAATTACCACTGGAAAATTTTAGAATAGTTCTCTTCAATGTTCTAGTTTAATTTTTTGGTCACACCTACCAGTGATAATTTGCATAATTTATATTAACTTCATTTGAACTAATTTTTTTTACCTAAGATGTTTCATCCACTATCGGCAGCCTCTCTGCCCCTACCCTTTGGCATTCCATCTTGCAATCCCTTTGCCTTGCTCCCTCCCTTGCCTCCTTCAAGGCACATCTCAATATCTTTCTCTTCGACCGCGCCTTCAGCCACCCTCCTACCCCTACCCTCCGTGCCTTCACCCTGATCAGGTCCAAATCCCTGAATGTCCAGTGCCTTGGTACGTCCTCCCGACCTGAAAAGTGCTATACAAATGTAATTTCTTGTTGTTGTTCACAGTGATTTTATTAGTCTCAGCTTCACCCAGTTCTTTTTTTAAAGAATGTCTATTCCTTTCTAGCTGGATTACAGACGATCACGCGGCGTGGAGATTTGGCATGTAAGTATGGCTGATTGAAACGAGAACTTACGGAACTCTCATTGATATAGTCGGTTGCTTTTAAGCAGTCGAGGGGGAAAAAAGACATTTAACTCGATTTTGAAGATTTGGTTTCCAATTGTAGTGGCATAACCTCAGTCCTATTTGAGATCAGGTAACTCAGCAAAGATCAGGAACCAAACCCGGGACTTCAATCTGGTCTTGATGGCCAAGTGCTGCAATACGCAATGTCTTTACCCATTATTGAACCCTCCAATACGGTCAGAATTTACATCAGGTGATTCAAGTTCCAATTTATTTGTGATATGTTTAAAGGAGGATCTGTAAAGTATTCCGAGCTTTATTTTGGGTCAGTATAAGATTACATTTCAATCCCCGTTGTTCTGTTGATGACATATAATAATAATAATAATAATAATAATAATAATAATAATAATAATAATCCTTGCATTCGATATAGTGCTTTTCACATCTTCTAGATATCTCAAAGCGCTTCACAGAATATACTCTAAAGTGAATTGACTGTATATTTGTGGGTGAAACGCGGCAGCCAATTGCACACAGCAGTGTCCCACAAACAGTCGTGCATTGAGTGACCAAATTATTATTGTTTTTTTTCTTGAGGGATTATTATCAAGCGTGTAGAGTAAAGAAACTTGCCCAAAGTCTCACCCTGCTGGAAATCAAATCTAAGTCTCTTGCTCATGCTCTAACCACTGATCTACAGGACTCCACTTAGAGTGAAAAAGAATTCAGATGTGATTTGTGAAGTCATAGGAGTGACCAAGAAGTTTATTGTATGTAGATTAGACCAAGACAGGAAGTCTGCTATTCTGAGAAATGTTTCAAAGGCCTGGAATGAATTAGGCTCTCTTCAGCTTCATAGCAATGATCTATAACTTTATACATCCCAATACAGTCTGACCTTTTAAGTTTAGACAATCCTCGTACAGTAGTAAATTTGAAAAATGTGCTTCTAGTGTGCATGCATCTATTGAATAGTAAACAGCAGCAATTTCAATTTGTAAATACAAACTGCAATGATTAAAACATATATTTTAGGTGGTAGAAAAGCATTCTACAAATAACCGTGTAAAAACTAACTGGGGAAAAATTAGATCCCATTGCATTTCAATAAATAGAGACACTGTAATGATAAAGCTGTACAGTATTAATTGTTAAGAAGGTTGTTAGATGTTGGCCAGGGTCTAATTGATTTAAGAACTTTAGTGAAGTTCATGTTCAAGGGCAATGTTGAGTATCTAAGTGCCTTGCCAGTCTGGTAATACATGGTTAAAATGGAGATTAGACATTGACTTGAATTATACTATATTAAACCGGCTTGCATTAATGTGTGGCATTATAGTCCATTCACTAAAAGCAAATTTCCTTTTAATTTCAAATTTATATTATAAAAAATATGTATGTGCAGTTTATCTCTACATAGCTGGTGGTTTGATTAAAATTAAGATAATTTAATAATTCTGAATTAAAGTAAATAAAATTAAATCTATTTGGGCAGTTTAGGAATCATTGTATGCAAATTATTTGAAATCCTGTACATACAAAATATGGATTCAAAAATAATACTTGCATTTGATATAATGCCTTTCATGTCAGGAAGATGTCTTAAAGCGCTTCACCGAATATACTGTAAAGTGTACTTACTGTATTTTGGAACTGAGCGCAGATTAAATAAGAAAGCAATTTTTGCTGTTACTTTGCAATATAATTTTTTGGGGGGATTATTTAGTTTCGTTATACAGAAGAGGTGATAGAAATGTAGAGTGAAACTCAGAATTTTTTTTACAAAATATGTATAAAAGGTTCATTCTCTTTTTCTAAACGTTTGATTAGCAGGGAAGAATAACTTGTGCATTATAAGATGCAATCTCAAGCAGTGACTTTTAGACTGCATTGTAAAACGATTGTCAGTGCACTCTGCAAAGCAGGTCTCTTACTCCTGTTGCGCCACCTCTGTGGTTTATATTATGCCATGTTTGTAATACCTGAAACCATTCAATAATATTGTAACCAAATCTGTTTATAAAGCAACAATTAAGTGTACAGGGCAAGGTTATCCAGGTGGTACACACAACCTTGATAAAGCTCCAGTGGCACTTGACTCTCCTTCCAATTTGATGCTGCTCTCTGCACCTGTTTCCCACGATTTGCATAACAGGTACAGAAATCTCTTATTAAGAGGGCAAACCTTTGGGGAGGAGGAAATTCTGTTTTATTTTTCCACAACAGTAAATTTAAATCCACTTTGCTTCAGAATATTTCTTCAGAATTGTTAGCCTTTTTGGGCAGGACAGCACATTCATATTGTATCTGGGTGAAAGAGTGAATTGGTGAAATGATGGTGTATTTGGTCACTTTGTTTTTAGCTGCACCTAGCATAACGGAATGGAAGTTCTCTTTCTACTGGTTGTAGGTCGTCTCAACAATTTTTCTATGGGTGAGTCCACAGAGAGAAAACTTCCCCAAATTTGGCACGGTGGAATGATTGCACCACTCAGGCTTGATGTACGAAACAGAAAGTGCAGACTAATGCACCAGGAGGTGTCTGTCTTAATTTGGGTGAAGTGAAGGGAGATCTGTGCACAATTATAAACCATGCCCTCAATTGTTTGCCACGCCAGAGACAACGTAATGTTTTCATTCAATGCAAAAGTCTTCTTTTGCACAAAACTGATGTCTTGAAAAGTATAAGAAACAAATATTAAAAAAGTGAATAGTATCACGGATAAGAGTTTAATTTCTTTTTTAGGTGGAGAACAAATGAAAGCCAGAGAAGAAATAGCATTAGCAAAGCACAAAAACTTAGAAAAAACATTGAAATGGGACATATTCGGTGAAAGGATTATTTGGGCAGAATTTGAGGTAGGTACCTGGCCAGTGTCTATAATAGTAGTTAATGCTCCTGGGAATGTAGAAAAATTAAATATGCTTACAACAACAACAACAAATTACACTTCTATAGCGCCTTTCATGTCAGGAGGACGTCCCAGTGAGCTGGACTTTCAGGGATTTGGACTCGAGCAGGGGGTTGCTATCAGGAGGAGTGGAGGGCAGGAAGGTTAGAAGGATGGCTGAAGGGGCAGGTGAAGAGGAGGGTCTTGAGACGTGTTTTGAAAGAGGCAAAGGAGGAAGCGAGGCGAAGGGTCTGTGGGATGGAGTTCAAATACGTGGGGACAGAGAGGATAGTGGGGCGGGCCGGGCAGGGGACGTGGAGCAGGCCTGCTGAGCGGAGGAAGCCGACAGGTTGATATTGGCATTAGCAGGTCACAGAGGTGGAAAGGAGCAAGTCCATGGATGGTTTTGAAGGTGAGGATGAGGATTTTGAATTCTATGGGAAGCCAGAGGAGCCGGGTGGGGGTGATAGGGTCACGGAGCCTGGTGTGGAAGAGAACCCAACCTGCAGAGATCTGGATGGAAGGCCGACAAGCAGGGAGTTGGCATAGTCAACTAACTAGATGTGATGAATGTGTGGATGAGGGTTTGGGTGGCCTGAAAGAAGAGGCAGTGGCGGAGCTGGGCGATGTTGCGGTGGTGGGGGAAGGCAGAGCGGGTCATTGCATGGATGTTGGATAGAAAGGATAGTTGAGCGTTAGAAAGATACCAAGGTTCTGGACTGGCTCAGTGAGATGGAATGTGAATTCATGGATTGTGTTGCTGCCAATGCCCAAGATGTGGAGGCACTGACTGGAGCCAATCAGGAGGGCCTCGGTCTTGTTGACTTTCAATTGTAGAAAGTTAGCTCTCATCCAGGACTTGATGTCTGACAGGAATTATGTCAGGAGAGCAGTGGTCCTGGAGTCAAGGGTGAAGGCAGAGAGATAGAGATGGGTGTCATCTGCGTAAATGTGGAAGTTGACCCCATGTCTGTGATGCTGTCCCCAAGAGGGAGCATGTACATGTTGAAGAGAGGACCAAGGACAGGGCCCTGAGGAACACCGCACAAGACGGTGCGGGGGCTGGAGGAGAAGCCATTTGTGGATACAAAGTGGAGATGGTGTGAAAGATAGAATCTGAGCCAGTTAAGGACAGGACCATGAAGGTTTAGGTGAGAGGAGAGATGGTGGAGGAGAATAGAATGGTCAACAGTGTCAAAGGCAGCAGAGAGGTCAAGGTGGACAAGGAGATAGAGGGAACCCTGGTCACAGATGGACAAAATGTCATTTGTTGTTTTTATAGAGAAATAAAGGGACCGGTTATTCTATTTATTCTAGAGATTTAAATTGTAGAAGTGGAAGGTTTCATAAAATGTAGGATTAATAATGGGAAGCTTCAGTGAGGTGGTGACAAAGGCAGGAAACTGTAAGACTGCGCAGGGTTTGATTTGATTCTGACAAGTTTTTGTTTAGCACCCCTTCAGACACATACCCATTTTGAGCATGGATAAGCATCGCGTTTGCGTGACTCATCCATTTCCACCCTTGACTCAGCTCCTGGTTATCTGCCACATTTTTCCTTTGGGGTATGCAGATTCTTCAGATGCCCAATTGAGATCAAGTGTATGCCATGTGTAGAAATGTGGGGAATAACTAGTGCCCTTTTACTTGAATGTAATAGAGTGCACCACTCACTGCATACCTAGTACGGAGTCGCAGAGATTTTGAGATGAATATTGGCCAGGTTTTATGTGTTATACATCACAAAGCTATGAGTGTGATGTGGACATTGAAACTCACCTTTTCCATCGGGAGGAAACATGATTTCCGGTGTAAAACTCATGAAGATTGATTAGGATGATTTTTAGCATTTAAATAATGTTTCATGAGAAATACCAATGAGAAGGGTTCAGGTGTAATCTGAAGCAATATGTGAAAATTGCTAAGTATTCAGTCTCAGAATTAACTATTTTACCAGAAATCCTACTACATTTTTCAATAAAGTTTAAAAGGCGAGGGGAATTGAAATCTGGGAGAGCTGTGCAATGAACATCAAAAGAGAATATAATCCACCCACAAGACGATTTTGTGGCTTTTGTGTCT